TATTTTTATTATCAATTATTTTTATTAAATGAGATATTAATGATATTAATGAATGATAGGTAAAGGAAAAATTTGTATATGTTAAAATCATCTACCTGATTAATATACTATATGTTAAATCACAACAGTGACATTCTCATATTGCTTAATCCTGTAATATGACCAGTTAAATCAAGCTCCCGCCATGTTTTTCTTTTTTTATTCAAAAAACGAAAAGAATTTAGCCAATCGGAATCTCTTTTCATGACGTCAATCATTACACCGGCTGAATTTAGCCAATCAAAATTTCTTCTAGAATTTTTCATAACATCGATCATTACAGTATTTAGTATTTCCATATCGAGTAAGATACCTGATTGCAATACCCACATATAAGGGATATATCACAAGCACATAGTGATATATCTTGTTCAATTTGTCATCCTATCAATTGGGATTTTTCACCACAATTTCTAATCTTTCAGGATTGGATACAAGAAACACATCAAGCAATAGAGTGTACCTCAGAAACTGTAACCACTTTTGAACAAATATTATTAGAACAAGATCCAGTTTGACTAATACAACTTGTCAGAGTATTATTAATTAATGTTAGATACAGTGTATATCCGAGAAATTTAAATACGATAGTTCAGGATTACTTTGCAGCAGCAAGAAGAACACATCACTTCAGAATAGCCTTAAACGAAGCACATCAAAGTTCTCCAGAACCCAAATGGGCTTATAATTAACTAACATGTATATAAAGAACTCGAATTTGACCTACTGTAAAAGTAAACTGCAAACAAGTTAATTAATTTCAACTAAGAAAAACTAAATAAACAAAATAATAGTAAATATTTTATTTAAACAAACTACTATCTTCCTTAACTAAAATTATTTGCTAATACCAAAATCAATTCATTGATAACCTATTCATTCTGATCCACACAAATACAAAAATAATTGTTATCACCAATTAAAATACGCTCTCCCAAATTTAATCGGTGACAACTTGATGCTGAGTTGTGTGGAAATTTACACCGAGGAAGATAAACTATAATTAAAATTCTGCGGATTTCTTTTTAATTGCATAATTTTTTAATTCTATTTCTTTATTTAAATTGTTATTTATTTCTTTTAAAATTTATTTTCTTATTACATTTTTATTTTATTCTTACCTTACGAGGTTACCTTATCTCTTTTATTTTAAATTAAGAAGTTACAATTCTGAAATTATCAAAAGAGAAAATTTCATTCAAGTTTACAAGTGAGTTCTCAAAGGAGAAATTAAAGACTCGCAATTATTTAATTTAATTTTTAATTACTTCTCTGAAAATTCGAACCAATTAAAAATTCACATAGAAACAAAACTTGTTATTCTTGTGGGATTAAAGGTCATCTTAAAAGACACTACAACGTCGGAAGAAGAAGAAATCGAATTTGTCACCTAGAAACCATCGAGAAAAGGAGATTTGGAAGAAAATTACAACCAATTAAAGAAATTATTTTTCGGGAAGAAGTTTCCTTTGAAAGCATTCCTGACGAAGTACCGTACTTACGAGGATTGATCGAATTAATATAATCGATCCTAATCAAGAAACAATACAACTCATACAAGAAAATACAAGGATCCATAATCAAGTACATCAACGGTACCCAACCACAAGGGATATATCACAAGTATATAGTGACATATCTTGTACAACTTGTCATCCTATTAATCGAAACTTCTCTGCTCAATTTTTAATCTTTTAGGATGGGATAAGAGAAACACACCGAGCAACAGACTCCACCTCATATACTATAAACACCTATTATTAGAGGAAGACTCTGGAAGGTTACAACAACTTGCTTTAACACTATTAGTTAGTATGAGATATAGGGATACCTAGGAAATATACTAACACTTTACCAAGACTACCAATTTGCAGCAGCACTTTAGAATAGCATTAAACGAAGTACCTCAAAATTTTCCGGAATCCATAACTGAAGAAGAAGACAATCCTAGTGAAAGTGGTGACTCAACAATAGTTAGTGATTCAAACTCAGATAGTGGCTCAGACAGTAACTCGGACGAAGAATCCACTCTAGGAATAGAAGATTATTTAACCTAAATCAACAAATTAATCAACCTAATTATCAACAAACAAACCAAATGGA